CCATTTCCTGCTGATATGGTTTCATGTTCGGCAGAAAATCTGCTCGCAAGAAGTCACCAAGGCAGAAAATCTGATCAAAAGTCTTCGCCGTGGCAATTCCGAACCCTCTTCTCCTCCTACACTTTCCTTTTGATGAAGCCATTGTATTGTTAATCATATTTGGATCTTAACATGCTTTGATACCATGATAAAATTGATCATAGAGAAGAGTAAGAGAAAATATATACACAAAGTAAGTCTTATATAGTATGGCAACACAACATAAAGAAAATGCCTAAACTACCCTTAGTATTAATACTCTAACAGCATGGAGTGATGTAGCTACAACATGGTCATGGGATTTTCGGCCCCCGCTTGCCATAAAGAGGATTATCAATTTATGTTTGCTCAATTTATTTCTCTTGCTCTTAACAATGATCATAGTGGACTGCGACCAAACAAGATGATTATATCCGTCAAGCTTTGTTGTTATAATCTATAAGGTAGGATTTTCAATCCAAAGCCCAATCTGACTTGCTACTGCTTGTGAATGTGTTTGCAAAACTGTCCTCCGACATCCTTATCTAGGTTTGAATCTTAACTCAGCAATCTCAGACACTCATCAAATGTGTTAAATTAACCTGAATGCAGCAAGAAACACAACCACCATTTCAAAACTGCAACTAATCAAGCAAAAACATCATAAAAAACAACCAAGGAATGAACATGAGAGCCAAACCGCCGAAACTATACAAACAGCCACTTCTGAGCACCTTAAGGCCATAGACCTTCTCGATCCTCGTTCCAGACCACTGGGCCATCCTTGGGTAAGTATAACTGGCATAAGGCTTCCAAGGAAAGGCATGGGTAGGTTTTCGGAAAAATAACTAATTTATTTTGAAAAATAAATTAGATCGGATTAACGCCAAAAAATCATAGATGGATTCCGCTAATTGAGTGGTTTGTGGTGATATTTTTTAAAATTTATAATATTTTTGGCAGCCGTGAATCCTTTTTCCTCTTCGCATGGAAACACAATCCTTCTTGTTCTTCGCAGAGATATTCTCCAGTTTTTGTACCGGTCACTCATACTTTTTACGTGCTTTACTCACAACAATGGTTTTGATGTTTCTATTTGCTTGTTGCAAAGCTAAAGGTGGATATCAGTCCCATGTATTCCTAATTTCTTAATAAGATATTTTAATTTTCTCATCCAGTGGTTTTTTATGTTTTGTTTAACCTATAGCATCATGAACCTTTTTGGTGTTCTCAAGTATAAGAAGATGGGAGAGGACTTTGTTCGTGATTCTGGTCTTCCGTTTACCATAATCAGGTATGTGACTCCTAATTTGGTATCTTACTTGATATTGAGACAATAGTTATTTATTGTGGTGACTAGAGAGAAACTTCAATATTGCGCAATGAATTTCATGCTATTGGGTATTTACTTATGCTGGAATTTTTTTATTGTAGAGCTGGTAGGTTGACAGATGGCCCCTACACATCATACGATCTTAATACTCTGCTCAAAGCTACAGCTGGTGAACGTCGTGCAGTTGTTATAGGACAAGGTATCTGATCTTCAGCTATTCACATGAAACAAGCTAAACCATGTGTTCTGTATCATCCAAGTGGATTATATATCTATGTAGATATTGAATCAAATCATAGATCCTTTGAACATGGACTGAAGTTTACTGTAGCATACGGCAACAATATGCGCCTGACCGGAAGAATATACGCGTCTTAAGCATGTCCATTAAGTCAAGGAATTAATGTGGCCATAGTTGGTGAAATATTGTTCCCTGAAGAGAAATCTTGATGAAATGCTATCTATTTATGAAAGTGATCCAAAGGTTCCGTGGAGAGTTAAGCAGTCCTCCACTTGTGTGGCTTGGGTTGGAGAAATATGGTTTGGAAATGGAGAAGTGGAACATTGTGTAAGAAAATCCTTAAAAGTTATAGCAGGAGGACTGGGGGTTGCAGCTATGTTATTTAGGCATGTGGAATCAGAGGATTTTAGAAATAGGAGGAGAAAAGAACAGGCAGTCATTTGGAATATCTTTTTGATAAGCAGAATATTTTTTACCATGTGGAATGTTTGGACGAATCTGCTGTGATCTACACTGAGTAGGTTTTTTGTGGTTGTTTGCTATCTTTGCAGTGAGAGCTTGTTTTTACTATCAGTTGGTTTGATGATTAGCTTTGTGCTTTTGGGCGGACTATAAGCTCAGATGTGACATGATAAGATCATACCAGCATGACATATATTTAAAAAATGGTACATAAATATGGTGAGGACTAGTCAATAACTAATTCATTTCATCTTTATATGATTTGTTTATCTATTCGGGTAATATACAGAGTAATATCAAGTCTATTGCTGGAGCAGGAAATATTTAACTTATAAAAAGCATAATTGTCAACTATACCTCTTGTTATAAACAAAGCATAGCAAGGATAAATACTTATGATGTACTATAGTCCTCACTTGTTCTCCCCAACCCAAAAAAAAAACTCCTCTCATGCCTCTTGTTTCACATTTTTTTTTTTTTAATAAATTTAAGACTGGCTGACATGTTTTATGGATCTTTAATTTTATTTCTTCTACGCTAATGTGATGAGACTTGCTGACTACTCTCATGTGATGAGCAAGTCATATCCCAACTTCCAAGTTTTCCTAATACGTGTTCTTCAGCGTCCAAATAATGGTTGACACTTGTTGGAAATTGACATTATCATTTTTTAATTCAAGCACAGCCAAAGGGGTGTCATGCATGTGTTCGGGGGTAAACGAGAAGTGTATATCCACTCCATGTTTGACACAGATAAGTGGTCTTGTCAGATGAAATGTTCATGCGTCCTAGTTGTGGGATTTTGTATCGTAGTTTATTCAGTATGTTTTACTGGGACTTTGCATCATAGTTTATGCAGTATGTTTTACAGTTGTGAGTTTAGGATAGGGAGCTTTCATGTATATATTTTTTTGTTGTTCCTAAATGGTGTTTTATGCTTTTGGGAGGGATACCTTTCATTATGTAAAGAATACTCATTTTTTTCTCATTTAATATAATTTTTTCTTGCTAAAGAAAAAAGTGAAGGTGTGTTCAAAATGAAATGCATTTTATTATACATCACATGTCACGCCCCAACTCCATGAGCAAACGTAATCTAACTAATAACCTTTAAAATCATGAGAGCATACTACAAATATAATAAAATAAATCAACACAACAGTATCCAACTTCATCTAGCTAAAAACCTCCAAAACATAATTCAACTGAGAAAGATTTACATCTCAAAAACTTTAAATAAATCAAATACCTCTACTCTAACTACATAGTGTTCATAATTCATAAACATGTTTCCATTATCAAAACTTTAAAACTATAAACTGGTAAATACATCTCTAAGCCTCAAAAGTGGGATCCACATCTCAATCCACTCCAACATTCAACTTTAGATGCTCACTTAAGTCTGTATCATCTTCAATACTAAAATTTGAAAAATGTTAAAAGGGTGAGCACAACTAACTGAATAGAGAAATTTTTCCAAATCTAAACAAAGTTTACAAAATTGTATAAAAATAGGTAGGTCTCAGATTTACAATATATATATATATATATATGATTTTGAAGTAAATTGGGTGATATTTAATAACGACCTCAAGTTTTTGATAAATTGTTATTTGCTAAATTGTTATATTAGCAATTTACCTTATTTGTTAAATATTTGCAATTAATTTTATAGTATATTAAATATCTAAAGTTAAGTATTTGTGTGAGCAAAAATTGTTTATTCAATGATTTTAATATTAATGAAATAATATTACTTAGTAATTCAACGACACAATTTCAATTAGTTGAAGTGACTTCCACCTTGTGTCAAACTTTTTTTTTTTTTCCTTCAACTTAATGTTTTCTTATATAAGTGGATGTTAACCCAATAAACGTACTTAATCAATCAATTATTAAGCTTATCTTTATAAATAAAGGGATTTTATTTATGTTTCCACGTGTTTCCACATATTTCTATATCTTTTCTCTGCTTTCATTGCGTTTCCGAAATGTTTGTGTTTCCAAGCTAATTGAAATGGTACACCGAAACGAGATATTGATCTTTGGTCCAGACGTGTGTTTTTGCATTCAGACGGACCAAATTGATTGCCCGCAGTGTCAAAGTTGTGTTTGGGCGCACTCTCGGTGCGTTAAGACGCAGGTGACTTTTTTTCTCAGACTTCTAGCTCGATTTGACCTAATTAGAGACCGATTCACAAAATAAAAATGAAACACACTTTTGTAAATCTTGAAGTCTACTTTCCAATGTTGCAAGAATTAGCGCAATCGGACATTGAAGTAAAAACTTATGGCCAAACTATTAAGATTTGACACATAACTACTAAGGTAGTGTCAAATTCCTCCCTATCCGAATTCTCTCCAAAATGCATTTTAAACCCGAAATACCTCCAAACCATTAATACACCCCATATCGTCTAGCCTAACATTTTTCGACCCTCCAAATCTCTTTTTGATGTTATTTTTACCCAAAGACTTTTAGAATTCCACTTAATTTCTCCTACGAGTGATTTACCCAAGAATGTCAAGTCACTTGAAAGTCTCAATTACATCGTAACAATAATTTAACAAACCCAATATAATATTTAATTATCTATTATAAATTAAACTAAATTTATGGCACGTGATCGTACATCACATGTGTATATATAAAAGGGACGTTGAACCTAGAGAAAGAAATAATTGATGGCAATGGAGATAGACAGAGTCATGGTAGAACAAAAGAATGCCATCAATGAGATTTTTGGGGATGGTAGTCTGTTGTCTGATGGCCAGGGTTTTTGCGAGGAATTTTCCAACATAACCTTTAGAATTAGCAAGAAGGCTTCTGCGATGGCTGTTTTGAATTGGGCCTAATGTCTGCATCATTTCCTTTAGACTGTTGTGGCAATTATCTTTTCATGTTCTGCTATCTTCTCTTTTGATGGTTTTTCATTTTGTTTCCAGGAGATACATTGGTCGGAGAGGTTAGCAGGCTTGTTGTTGCAGAAGCTTGCATACAGGCATTGGACATAGAGTTTACTGAAGGTCAAATTTATGAAATCAACTCAGTTCAGGTAATTATATTAAAAATTGATAGTAAGTGCCTGGGCTTCCAGTGCATGAGATTATATCATTTCAATCTGTTGGCATATGAACAAAATTTGAGCTGTTGCAAGAAGTTGGATTGTTCAGTTGAAACCTGATTACTGTACATAGCAAAAGGGAGTTTTTTTTCCCCAATTAGATGCTGAATTGTTTTCCAAGCACATTTCAACTTTCTAGTGCTACCGTGGTTGCTTATCCTATCATGGGTATAGACAGACACTTGTGTGTGGTGATAGGGTGGCATTTATGTAATATACCTTTTTCTGGGACTGTATTTATTCTCATCACACTAGATTTCTGCAAAAATGTTATAATATTCTACTCCTGGATGAATTCTGGCTCAAAGTCTCACAAAATGGATTGGATATAAGCATCTCTCTATCAGCCTTCACTCAATTGCAAATTTTGGCAGATAAAATCCTTCCTCTTATCTTTTACATGGGGCTGTTCCATGCTTGTCTGGGTTCGACACCATGTTTAATTGTTCTCTTTTCATTTTCCTTTAGATCCACAAAATGTCTTTGTTGATTTTATATGGACACACAATCAACATGTTTTTAAGCAAACTCGCACTGATTGATATGGATACATAATTAATTTGAGTATTGGCCAGTGATATTGTGTGTCCCTTTGTCTCGAAATTATTTTTTTCTATGCTGAACTTAAACTGGGTCTGCCAATTATTTGTTAAAATCAAGCAGTCATAATTCCTTTTCTTTTGAAAATTGTAAGATATTGATGAATGATATATAGCACAACATTATGTAGCATCTACAAAAGGTTTTGTATTCTGGAGTAGAAGTTCAGTTATCTGTGTGTTGACATTATGAGTTGCACTACCATCTGCCCAAACTAAATGTTGTTGAGTTGTGCAGGGGGAAGGACCAGGAAGAGATCTGCAGAAGTGGCAGGAGTTATTTAGAACTGCTCGTGCCCAATGACAGCTAGCACTTATGAGGGGGTTCAAGTATACATAAGATCATAGATTGTGTATGTGTGTACAGATATATTCTAAAACTGTCTCCAGTCTACTGTGTTCTTTTGATCAGATTGGGAAGAAATGTCAATTATGTTGTGTAACACTCCAATACACACCCTGGATGGCATTACATTCTAAAATCATTCATATCATGAGAGCACTAATATAATCCCTTAAGAAACAAGATTTTATTTGTTATCCACGAATATTTACAACATTATTTAAAAGAATAAGCCCAAGTTATGACTATTATATCTCAAAAATTAATTAAAGAAGCGCAGCGGAATAAACAAAGGAAGTTAGACTACATAATGTTTCAAAAGAATGTTTTAGTCTAGTACAAAAGGAAAAGAGGTCACTCTATGCGTCCACCTTGGGATCTACACTCTCGTCTAGTGTAGTCTCTTAAGTAGCGGGCTCTTCGACTCTTACGTCCTCCTCTTCAAGTGGGTAATTTAAAAAATGTTAGCGATAGGGGGTGAGTACGAAGTTCTGTAGAAAAATTCTCCTAAACTCATACAAGATTTTGAAAAACATTTAAAACGGTCGGTCTCAATTTTAACATAACATAGATACATTTGATTCTCAAGCATTCTTATCGGCAACCTCTTGAAAATAGATGAGCATCCTTACGTGGAACCCTCACCAATCACTGTATTATTTCCTAACCATCCTTACCGGGAACCTCTTGGAAAGGGGTGAGCATCCTTACAAGGAACCTCTCACTCATGTGCATCATAAACAACCCAATCAAGCATACAATTCTAATATTTATCTCAATTTACAAGCATCTATCTAAAATTTTCAAAATATATCATATAACAATTCCACAACCAACTAAGAAAATATATGAGATCACAATAATATCATTTTTCTACCCAACACAAAGCACTAAGGTTTCAAAATCAATAATAAAGAAAGCATTTAGGAAGAAAATACATCACTATCTAAAAATTAGGGTTTTAAAACTAGAAAAGAGATTTCATGGATATTAAACCCTACTTTGTTCAAAATATGTAATTCTTGCAAAAAGTCTAAGAGAGGATGATTCCATAGCATATATATACAATTGATAGCCAAAACATACATATATAAATACCCTATCCTCAATGTAAGTGAATGAGAGAAAACTCCTACTTTGAATCATTAGCTTGGGAGTGAAGAATAAGAATATTTGATCTTGAATCACCCTTGAATCTCTTGTTTTTCCCTTCCTTTCTTCTTCTCTAATGCCCTCTAAGGTTTCAAGAGGTGTGGGGGTGTAAGGGGAGTAAAGGAAATGAGAGCAAATGAGATGAAAATGAGTTTAAAACATAGTAACCCCGAAAAACACTGTTCACAGATTGTTTTGGGTTTTTTCAAATTTACGATTTTGCTACTAAGAATCTCCAATTTGATCCATATGACTACCCTAAGGTTTGTCGACGTTTCGGATTTATTTTTAATGTTATTTTTACCTAAAAATATTTATTTTTATGATTTATCTCAAAACTCAAGTCAACGTACACCTGAAACACTAAAGTTTTTATTTTACCCATCCGAATCGGCTATTAATGAAGTTTTGCGATGTTTGCAAATAAAATGTGATAAAGGGTGTTTCTTAAAGCCTTTTATACTTATTTGAAGCCTAAAAGTACTCATTATTCTTATATTTTGATTTAGGATGCAAATGGAGACATTAAATGCAAAACGAAGCTAATTGGACTATTTCGACATCATTTCGTTATCTGAGCATAACTCTCTCATCCAAACTCCGATTGAGATGATTCAAGATGCTATGGAATGATAAAAAAGAGCTCTAAAACTTTCATGTTTTAAGTTTTGAGAGATATTGATTGCATCAATGTCTAAATCGAGCTTGAAGTTGCAGCAGTGCACTGTTCACGTGCACTGTTCACATCTTGTCTTCGTCCCTTTTCCATTTCCAATCCATTTCTAAGCCAACCAAATCCATCTCAAACCTCTCCAACACATATTTCTACACCAAACCTATTTAATACAAGTTTTAGGACCTAAAATTTCATATTTTCACTTATTAAAATCAAATTTCAACTATTATTTTCACTAACATTTTAAATCTCTACTTTTTCAATCTACCAAATTCAAACACACATCACTACATATATCCACATTTTTTTTTATCACAATTATTTACTATATATCTATATACATATAGAAAAGAAAATTCGGGGTATTACAATCCACCCCCCTTAAAAAAAGTTTCGTCCTCAAAACTTACCTCAAGTAGCGAACAAATATGGATACTTCTCCCGCATTTCTTGCCCCGGTTTCCATGTAGCTTCCTCCACTCCATGGTGTTGCCACAAAACCTTCACCAATCTGATTACTTCGTTGCGAAGCACTTTTTCCTGGGCGTCGAGAATTTCTACCGGTTGTTTTTCGTAGGTTGCTCCATCTTGAATTTCAATCTCCTCTAAGTTCATGACTGGAGTTGCATCCGAGTGACACCTTCTCAACATGGACACGTGGAACACATCATGTACTCCGGATAGTTGGGCTGGTAGTCGAAGTTGATATGTCGTCTTGCCTACCGCTTTGATTACCTCAAACGGTCCGGTATATCTTGGCGCTAACTTCTCCTTCTTGTCGAATCGAAACACACCTTTCTTGGGTGACACCTTGAGAAATACGTAGTCTCCCACCTTGAATTCTAAGGGTCTTCGTTTGTGGTCCGCATAGCTCTTCTATCTACTTTGCGCCGTCCGTAGCCTCTCTCAAATAAGTTGAATCTTCTCCGTAGTTTCTCAAACAATGTCCGGTCCAAACAAACTACTCTCGCCGGCTTCTAACCAACACGTCGGTGATCGGTATGGTCTTCCATACAATGCTTCATACGGTGTCATCTCAATACTTTCTTGATAGCTGTTGTTGTAAGCAAAACTCCACCAACGGTAAGTGGTCGCTCCAACTCCCCTTGAAGTCCAACGCGCAAGCGCGTAACATATCCTCCACAATCTGTATCACCCTCTCGGATTGGCCATCCGTTTGGAGATGAAAAGTCATACTGAAGTGTAACTCCGTCCCCATCGCTTATTGTAGACTCTGCCAGAATCTTGCCACAAACCTAGAGTCACGATCCAACAAAATCGAGAGTGAAATGCCGTGTAATCTCACTATCTCACGGATATACAGCTGGGTCAAAGTCTCGAATGTATCTGTGGCTCAAAGTCTCGAATGACCCACACTGCATTATGCCCGCGCGACATCTGTGGTAAACCTGACACAAAGTCCATGGTGATGTGATCCCATTTCCACTCTGGAATAGGCAAAGACTGTAGGACTCCTCCTAGCCTTTGATGCTCAATCTTCACCTGCTGGCACACTGCACATTTTGCCACATACTTGGCCACATCTCGCTTCATTCCCCTCCACCAGTATTGATGCTTCATATCCCTATACATCTTTGTACTATCGAGGTGGATAGCAAACTTGGAGCGATGACACTCTCCCAGTATCTCCTCCTTTAGGGACGAATCATCGGAAACACATAGCTTCTCCCCATATCTCAACTCTCCATTCTTCCAAGACCATCCTTCGATCGCCTCTCCATTCTCCAATCGGGCTCTAATCCAATCGAGTTCCGAATCCAGGCATTGTAACTCCACTACCCGTCTCCAAAGCGTCGGTTGAGCTACAAGGTTGAATAAATATGGTTGATACTCCAGTCCATCCACCCATAGATCGTACTCCTCCAATGCATCAATCATTTTCCATCTATTTACCGCAAGAAAATTGATTTCACCTCAAAACTTCCTGCTAAGAGCGTCGGCAACTACATTGGCCTTCCCAGGATGGTAGTTGAGCGTGAACTCATAATCTTCTAAGTACTCAATCCACCTTCTCTGTCGGAGATTCAAGTCTTTCTGTGTGAAGATAACTTGAGGTTTTTATGGTCCGAGAACACTTAAAATTTTTTCCCGTATAAATAACATCTCCACAATTTAAGAGCAAACACCACCGCAACTAGCTCCAAGTCGTGTGTGGGATAATTCTACTCATGCACCTTGAGTTGCCTCGAGCCATACGCCACTACCTTCCCTCCTTGCATTAGAACGCATCCCAAGTCTTGTAGTGAAGCATCAGTGTAGACATCGTAGCCTTCCCCACTACTCGGAATAATGAGGATAGGTGTCGTTGTCAACTTCTCCTTTAAGGTGCGAAAAGTTAGTTCACACGCTTGAGTCCACAAAAATTTCCCCCCTTCTTTGTAAGGCGAGTCATCGGCATCGCAAGTTTGGAGAATCCTTCCACAAACCTACGATAATAACCGGCTAATCCCAAGAAACTCCGTACTCCTGTTACATTCTTCGGTGATTCCCATTTCATCATGGCCTCAATCTTTGCGGGATCAATCGCTACTCCTTGCTCGAACACAACATGGCCAAGGAACTTCACTTCTTTCATCCAAAATTCACACTTGCTCATCTTCGCATATAACTTATGTTCTCTCAATGTTTGTAGCACAATAGAGAGATGACGAGCATGTTCCTCCTGAGTTTGTGAGTAAATCAATATGTCATTAATAAACACAATGACAAATTGATCGAGGTATGGCCGGAAGACTCTGTGCATCAAATCCATGAAGGCTGCAGGGGCATTAGTCAATCTGAACGGCATCACCGTATACTCGAAATGACTATACCGGGTACGAAAAGCAGTCTTAGGAATATCTTCCTCCTTAATCCGCAGTTGATGATACCCTGTGCGAAGATTAATCTTGGAGTAATACTTCAAACCCTTCAACTAGTCAAATAAGTCATCAATTCTCGACAACGGATACTTATTCTTCACGGTAACCCGATTCAACCTCCGGTAATCCGTGCACAAGCGTAGAGTCTCATCCGTTTTTGTCACAAAAAGGATCGGAGCTCCCCAAGGTGAAGTGCTTAGACGAATAAACTCAATCGCCAACAAGTGATCCAACTACTTCCTTAGCTCCTT